CTACTACCTTGCAATATTATGTGACTTATCACATGCTTTTGTGGCCATTGTAACAGATTCTGTTCTTAAATCTATGATATTAGTTGATTCTAGCTTGGTATTCTGTTAAACAGATCACATACTGTTGTCATAGTAATCGAAATGTCATACCATTCATGCAATTCTTTATTCTGAAGCCCTGAATAGTAGGTGTAATTTTGCAGCGGTGTAGCTAGAGGAAAATAAAAACATTAAAACATACAGTTCTTTCTTAAAGAAGTATAATGCTTATTATTAAACCCAGACAAATTCAAACAGGCCCAAACAATATACTGTATCTAAAACAGGGATATCGCAAATATTTCCTACCTCGATCTCGGTATAACACATTGTAAGTGAAGAACAGTTTGATCGATTCGATGAAATCCAGATATCCTACCAAACTAATGCAACAAACAAACAACTACATTTTGTATATCGAACAAACTCATTGATGACAATAGTAGCCAGGCCAACCTGTAAATTGACCAAAGATCAGGTAACAAATGACTGGAAGAAGAACAAACTATAGTCATTTTTTTGTAAATTTACTTCTTTTTTTTTTTCTATGTAGTTGATATAAACTGTTGAGTGTGTGATAGAGCTTCGCAGATTATATTTGTCAGATGATAGACATTGTACCATGTTTACCAACATGATGTTGATTGGAGCCCCAGATGATTTGATTTGCTTTTGATTTGCAAATGTTAATGAATGTGTTGGTCCGCTATGTTTATTTTCAGAGAGAATATTTCAGTGATATTTCAATGGCCCTGTTATCAGTAAAGTACAAGTAACCTTTGTAAAGTTGATAATTATCCTTTGTAAAGTTGATAATTATCCTTTGTAAAGTTGAAAATTATCCTTTGTAAAGTTGATAATTATCCTTTGTAAAGTTGATAATTAACGTTTGTAAAGTTGATAATTAACCTTTGTAAAGTTGATAATTAACCTTTGTAAAGTATGATAATTCACCTTTGTTAAGTATGATAATTGCCTGAATTTTGATATTTTAAGTTTCAATTGTACAATTGTTACCGACATTGGCATGAATCTCTGGTATTGCAATACAATTTTAACCAGTAATTCACATCATGCAGGAAGTTAATGCTGTCAGTGTCTCATTTCCATAGCAAGTGACAGGTGACTTGCATACAGATCTATATCTTATTTAAAACCAAAAATAAAGTATACATTTTCCTCCCCTTCAGCTTCATGCCATTTTAATGTCACCGAGTAACTAGAGATGAAGAAATTATTATGTGTGTCTTTGCTTTCTGAGTTGTTTGTTTGTTGTTTAAGACCCACTCAGCAATATTCCAGCTATATGACGGCGGTCTGTAAATAATCGAATCTGGACCAGACAATCCAGTGATTCACATCATGAACATCGATCCATGCAATTGGGATCGATGACATGCATTAACCAAGTCAGCGAGCCTGACCACCCGATCCTATTAGTCGCCTTTTACGGCAAGCATGGGTTACTGAAGACCTATTCTACCCCGGATCTTCACGGGTCATTTTGCTTTCTGAACTTGATCAGGGATTTACTTGGGTCTATCTATTTTCGAGTCCAGGGGCCTCTTAGTTTTAATAAATAAGGGGGGTCAAAGGCTTGCACTTTGGGGTCCCAGGCTGGCTGACTGTGGAATGCTACACGTACCTTCCAAGAATTTTCTCGATATCATTTAATTGCAAATGGTCAGAAGCCTCAAGTCTGTCATAAACTGCTGGGCCAAAAAAAAATGGATTTGACCAAAAGATTATGAATGTTTTCAGAACATTACTAAGCTGAGAACAGTTGCCAAAACACTGCAAACTCAAGGTCCAAAACACAACCATGATACCTAGCACATCACCATCGAATAACCATTTCTTGTGTGTTTCATTTTTAGCCACCTTTAAACATGGGTGTATGCTTTCTCATTCCCAGCAGTTTAGATGGGGATTTCAATGTTAGATTGAAGTTAAGTTATAATGTAACATGCAATTTAAAATTTTGGTAAATTTAATTATTGAAACAATCACATTAATATGTATCCCCAGAACTTCCATGTATGTTACTTGCACCTATTTTCAATTTGTATCGAGAAGAGAACACAACATTTTGCATCAGGTAAAACCCTGACTTGATTTCTATACACCATAAAGTGGATCCTTCCAAACATTCATACTTGGTGTGTATCACATCTGTTGACTGGAAATGTATGCAGAAAAAAAATACTCATATAATACATATCATAAAACAATAAATATGCTTTAATCATGGTACAGTATGTGTGATATAGTTTATGGTTTGATATGAAGTTTTGGATACACTCCATGACAGATCTGATTATTAGATTTGTTATTAGGAATCAAAGAGGTCAGTTGGCACCAGCCTGAAGATATTTTAAATGACCAGATAAATAGAAAAAGGTAGTATGATTAATTAATGATATAATGGACAAAAATCTCAAATCATTTGCAATGACAAAGAAAGAAATTTATCATATATCATGTCAAACCAAGCAGATTAAGTTGTGTATGTTATTTTCCAAAGCTTAGTAAAGACAAGTTATTATTTATCAATCGATGAAATAAAAAAGGTGATAAGTAAAATTATTCATAAGACAACCAGTTTACAAAGTGATACCATTTCACTGGCCCTGTTATATTTTCACTTGCATCAGGCCAACAGGGTAGTGTACATGTCCTTTAGGGGTATTCAGGGTGGGACCACCAAGGGGTTCTAATGACGTCGCAGCTATTGAGCAGACATGCCCTGACAATTAATGCCCCTACAATCAAATACACCTGTCACTTTATAAATGGTGAAAAGTTTGTATCCACAGTTATCAATATCCACCAAAATTCAAATAATATATTTCTTAATTGGAAACATCTCTTCCTAGTCTGCATTGTTCTGCTTTGCATGCTTAAACATTCTGGTAATAAGCAGTCTGAATATTGATCAACCAAGCTTCAATATTTGTATTATTGGCCATACGTTTTTTAATTAAAGTGAATATATGAAATTATGATACCTTGGTTATGATAATTAAGTTAATTAACACAGTGGGGACATGTGCAGCAAATATAAGGGTGATACATTGAATGTGAAGGTCAAATTGATTCATCAGGCTTCTGTCTGCCTTGATTCAAGTGCGAAACAAGAACAAACTCAAAATTAGAAGTAAATCAGGTATGCCATTTTTCGTTTAGGTGTGCCTTATCTAATTTATCCAATACTTATAACAAAAGGCAGAAAATCTATAAGATCAAACTTTTGGATGAACATAAATGTGTTTCAAGATTGCTGGTTCTGAAACGCCTTGAACCACTGAAAAAAAAAAGAATTTTTTTTAAAAAAAAATTTTCCATCTGGTTGACCATTCTCCGTGCAAATGTTGTAAAAAAAGAATAGCGGAATATTTTGTTTAATCTCCATTTTGACAAATAGCGATCGTCTGCTAAGTTTTTCAGAACAGTCAACAAGAATAAACACTTCTGTTTAAAACATGTTTTACATAATATTTATACAAAAAGATGTGACTTCATTCAAATGCATTTCGTGCAATCTTAAACATCTTGTCAAATGTCTGTAATTTACAGTCAATGGAAATCACTGAATTATATGCTTTCATTTCACAGTCTAATTTTGTCAGACATAAAATAAAATTAAATGTAAGTACTTTTAATGAAAATAACCATGCTCATGAGGCACCATACATAAACTTCCTGTATGTTATTTCTTATTTCATGTGTGCCACAGGCACAGGTGCAAGAACAATTTCAAGCCCTTAACTTAGTCCTAACATCCATGTAACGTTTTTTAAAGAAGTTACGAGGCAGTTACGTGTCCCCTCTACACTGCAGTGTTTACTGTAGACCAAACTGAATAAGTGTAGGAAAATACAGACTGTCAAGCAGTGTTCGAAAGAAAAATAATTGCCATGCTGCATCAGGACCCACAGACTTTAGAAGCTGCAGGTCCTTACTGAACTCTTCAGACCCTCTTTTTAAAAAAAATGTAGCTTATTGCGACAAATAAATGGACATGCAAATTAACCTCAGGCCATAAGGACACATACAAATTTGAAACTACGTTCCCAACACGAAATCTACCTGCCAACGGGCCTTTGTGCAGCCGCTTATTTTGAACACTGCTGTCAAGTAAATTTTGGAGCTTAGTACCAGATGCTAAGAAGTTGGTCAGGTGACGCCTAACATGCTTAATACAGCAAAAATGAAATTTAAAAACACTAATTAAATCTCTTTTTTTTATATTTCTTAAAAAATATCAGGTGACATAAAGAAAAGTAAAAACAAAGAAAACACAAATTGTACAAATGTTTGGCAACTGAAAAATTTGATCATTCATGTAATGGGGGTTTAGTTGTCATTGGTTGATCATGTGATAGATCAGTAGATTGTACATTCCTGAAAGGAAAAATAAAGTGAGTTTAAACTTGCAGGAAATTGAATTTCATATTTTATTTGAATGTCCTTTGTATCAGAAAAAATAAAGAAATATATTCCTAATTTCCAATACTGACAAAAGTTTGTGCATCTTCTAAAAACCTAAAAGACAAGCATAATTTATGACTCGCTATTTTTTAAAATAAGATGTCAAAAGATAAATGTTAATTGTCTACACCTGTATAGAATTGCATACAACTGATCCTGACGACACTCTGTACAAACTTTTTGTAAACTGTGACTGTACTATTGGCCATGGCAAAAAAATATGAATAAAACATGTCTTGGTCTGCAAGTGAAAGAATCTAACAATTTGTTAGAATCTGAAATAGATGCACAGTGTCACTTTTAAAATTAAACCCAAATAATCCAATGATTTATTCATCTTCTGTTTCTCCTAAGGCTTTCTGTAGAGGCATGTTTGATGTAGAGTATTATTTTTAAATCCTCTCAGATATTTCAGTGCACACATTGTACAGGTTCATAAATCACTATATCTTTACCATCATAAACAACGAAATGCTCAGCAGATGCCTTTACTATAATTGTAACAAGCTTTTCAGAAAGTAGCATGTTTACAGAGTTGTCTCCCTTCAGAGTTTGAAGTCCACATTCTGAGTTAGCTTGGGTTGCATTGGTGACTGCTGACTGGGGAATCTTTGAAGTTGCTAACTGAGGACCTTGGCACTCAATCTTGATAAAATGGCTGTTGTGGCTGGAGTATTCAGTGTGTGCATGTTTGTCATGTACTTGTGCAGCATCACCTACAATATTTTCACAATTACTGATGGTACTCCCAACTCTACAGTGTTCACCTTCAGGGGATATGGTGGAAAATTCAAATATTTAACATTTTTAAATTTTGTAAGTATTTTAATTTTGACTATGTTTTCTAAAGAGGATGTAGATTTCTTCATGATATATTTCTTCAAATTTTCATAGTTTGTTAGAGACAATTCTAGAAATGGTGTAAGCTATATTGTTAATTTTATGAATGGTCTCTAACTGTCATACAGAGAGTAGAGTTTGTGGTATGTAATTAACTGGTGTACTGGCAGTATACATTTACAAGAGTTTCTGAAGCACTGTTATCGGTACTAGACTAGTTATGACATGAATAGAGGGACATGTTATTTCCATTTCTGTTTGAGAAGCAACTTCAGTCGTGATAGATAAGAGGTGACCTGTTTTGTGAGTAGGTGGAATTATAGAATTTGAGGAGAGTTTGTGTATTTATGTTTGATATAGACATGAAATTATTTTATATCACGGTGTATATAGACGATAATGGTGTACTGAAAATTTATAAACTGACTATCAATAAAATAAAACAATACAAGTGTATTCTTGGGACGTCATAGAATTTTTTGTTTGTAGTTTCTGTTTGATACCAGTTTCAGCAGATTAAGACAAATATTTGCAGGGGAAGTTGTGGAGAATATCAGTTCATGTGCTAATCAGTTAAGTAGTTCTAGGATCTATCAGTTTGTAAATTGTAGTGGTTTCGTCCCTCCAAACAGGAACTGATAGAACTTGCCCGTTCCTGGTACAACACCTAATTGTGAAACAGAATCTACCTTAAAAATAGTCTATTTGTTTTATTCATTCGTATTATCTTTTTGGGGGGGTCTCTTTTGTAAACAAACCAATTAATAATAAAATGCCTCAGTTTGATGGACAGGGTTTGATCTTGGCTTATGAAAGTGGGGGTCCTGTGGCCATGATTGATGGATGAAATAACAGACACCCATAACTGCTCTTGATGAGCTGTATCTACAATGAATATTATTGTTCGTCCCTCAGGAATGTATTTTTTCTGTGTCCATTCTCTACATTTGTGCTTATTGGATGCACATTTGTGCATTGCGTAATACCCTCTATGTGTTTGGTGAACGTCAAATGTTCACTTGTAACAAATATTTGCTTTAAAAAAAACTTTTTTTCCTCATTAATAAAAAAACAATATTCATATTTAGCTCCCCTGAACTCAATGTTTAAGTGAGCTTATGTTGTTGCATGTATTTGGTCATGTGACCATCTTAAAAACATGTTAAACTTGAACACTTTTGACATCTCTGAAACCATAAGGAGTCTGTAGGTGAAACTGTCTGCATTGAAAATGTTCATGCCATTGCTTTCACCTGCATATTTATATTCCCTTTTAGCCTTTCTTTATCATCTTTGTTATTTAAAAATTTTCCAGAAAACATCGGGTAATCTACAGTATAATCATAATGATAATAATGTTTTTAAATTTTGATATTAGTATTAAAGTTTTTGTAGAATTCTAACTGAGAAAGATTTTGAAAGTCAAAGTCATTGGAACTTTGCGAATGTTGTGGATCCTATTGTCAAGTGATAGAATAGTATGCGAGTCATTGTGACCAGGGTCAGAAACATAGGGTTTACTCCCAACTTAAGTATAGAAGAACTTTGATTAACATGATTAAATCACAGCCACTGGAACTGGAACACTGGTCTCGGGACAAGTATGAATCTTGAAGGTCTAATCATCTTTTTGTATTTAGTTCTGTCAATAAGTATAAACCAATAGTCTCAAATGAACCATGGACTAGTTGGATTTTACTCATGAATCCAATGAAACTTGTCATGCTGCAGACGGTCTGCTAGGGGTAGAATAGGTCTTCAGCAACCCATGCTTGCCGTAAATGGCAACTATGCATGTTATAAGAGGCGACTAACAGGATCGGGTGATCAGGCTGGCTGACTTGGTTGATGCATGTCATCGTATCCCAATTGTGTGGGGCGGTCGGGTAGCCTAGTGGTTAAAGCGTTCACTCATCCTGCCGAAGACCCGGGTTCGATTTCCGACATTGGTACAATGTGTGAAGCCCATTTCTGGTGTCCTCCACCGTGATATTGCTGGAATATTGCTAAAAGCGGCGTAAAACACCACTTACTCACTCACCCAATTGCGTGGATCGATGCTCATGATGTCAATCACTGGATTGTCTGGTCCAGACACGATTATTTGCAGACTGCCATCATATAGCTGGAATATTGCTCAAACAAATGTTCTACTATGGCCTGTAGTGGTTATGTCATGGTCTAGTGGTGGGTGCGTTATGTGTATTGAGTAGATCATGATCTGCCTCAGTTGCTGCAGACATTCTACTATGGCCTGTAGTGGTTATGTCATGGTTTAGTGCTGGGTGCGTTAAGTGTATTGAGTAGATCGTGATCTGCCTCAGTTGCTGCAGACGTTCTACTATGGCCTGTAGTGGTAATGTCACTTTTCATGTAGTGGGTGTGTGATGTGTATTGAGTGAATCATGATCTGCCTCAGTTGCTGCAGACGTTCTACTATGGCCTGTAGTGGTAATGTCACTTTTCATGTAGTGGGTGTGTGATGTGTATTGAGTGAATCATGATCTGCTTCCAGTTGCTGCAGACCTTCTACTATGGCCTGTGTGCTGTCACTGCCATCGTGGGGAGTACCGGAGGACCAATCAGGGATCCCCGGAAACGCTCAGCTCTCCAGAAGTTCCGAGACTTCCTCCACAACACTCTCGCCTTCCCAGTTGGAACTGTAAGTAGTTGATGCAGTCAGATCCCCATGGCCACACTTCACATTGCCCAATCCTCCTATACTCATTCATATTTTAACGTTTAATATCACTTAGTTCACTGGATATTAATGTTAAGGATGTCTTCTGGTATATTGTTGTGTTCACCAGTTCGCTGTACATCACAGAGTGTTGTGTATCAGAGTGCTTAAGTGACATATTTGAGTCAGTTTATTGCTGATATGAAGTGGTGCAGCTGAGAATCAGACACTGAAAGTCAAAACATTAAAGATACATTTGGAGCAAACCAAATAGTATTTACCGTATTCGACGTAATACGCGCCCAGGGCGCTTTCAAAATTAGAAATAAGGGTCTCTTATTAGAATATAATTTTGGTGAGAAAAATTTCGTGATTTATGCTGACAGCCTGTAAGGATACAAAAGAAAAGTCTGTGCGTATTATACACGACAGATATATTTTCCAGAATTTAATGGCCCATAATTAAGGGTGCATATAACACACGAGTGCATATTATACATGAATAAATAAGTGTTCAATCAATCAGAAAGGGTGCTAACTGGGATGGTTCTCTAGCCAATATATTAGCAAATGTTGCCGTGGGCGCTTATTAGAGTGAGGCGCTTAATACATCGAATACGGTATTCCCATTTACAAAAGGTCGTGATTTGCTTTGGGCAAAGCGTTAAGGGTTAACAGCCTGTATGCCCTACTATGATGACACTGTTTGGTGTCCTCAATGCTTGCACTATGACATCTTCAATGAAATGTGTAAATGCTAATGTCTGTATAATTACAGTAATAAAAAAACACTAACATAGTTTTGAGTGAATTATGATGTTTTCTTAAAGTAAATATTTTTGTAAGTAAGTGAATACTAATCATGCCAACTGGTTGTTGTGTATGGCGCTTCCACATTGTCTTGATTAGTAAAGTGTGAATTTGATGCAGTATTTAATAACATGATAAGTGGGCCTTACACAATATGACACATAGAATCCAATACTTTTCATTCTGAAAAAGGATAAATCACTCTGATTTTGAAAATACCCATCTGAGAAAAAATGTTTTTTAATCTAAGGGCAAACCAGAAAACATCTTTAAGTAAATACACTAAAAGAGGTTCTGATAATCCCAACAAATCAAAACAGTTGATAACAGTGCCAGACATGATTTTATGTTACAAAATGTGGAAATTTACTGACCTATTCATGGTTGGGATATTATTTTGTGAGATAGCAAGATTTCAGTGAAAAGTTAACTATATTAATCAATCTGTTCTTTTGCTGCATGCAATAATCATGATAATGAGATTTTGATATTTGTTTTCAGTTTGTGGTTGTAACATTTTGGGCAATCTATGCCGTGGACAGAGAGCTTGTGTTTCCCAAGGCTCTTGACCAGTTTATACCTCCCTGGTTGAATCATGTCATGGTGAGTCACGATACAAGTTTATACCTCCCTGGTTGAATCATGTCATGGTGAGTCACGATACAAGTTTATACCTCCCTGGTTGAATCATGTCATGGTGAGTCATGATACAAGTTTTTACCTCCCTGGTTGAATCATGTCATGGTGAGTCACGATACAAGTTTATACCTCCCTGGTTGAATCATGTCATGGTGAGTCATGATACAAGTTTTTACCTCCCTGGTTGAATCATGTCATGGTGAGTCATGATACAAGTTTTTACCTCCCTGGTTGAATCATGTCATGGTGAGTCACGATACAAGTTTATACCTCCCTGGTTGAATCATGTCATGGTGAGTCACGATACAAGTTTTTACCTCCCTGGTTGAATCATGTCATGGTGAGTCACGATACAAGTTTTTACCTCCCTGGTTGAATCATGTCATGGTGAGTCACGATACAAGTTTATACCTCCCTGGTTGAATCATGTCATGGTGAGTCACGATACAAGTTTATACCTCCCTGGTTGAATCATGTCATGGTGAGTCATGATACAAGTTTTTACCTCCCTGGTTGAATCATGTCATGGTGAGTCACGATACAAGTTTATACCTCCCTGGTTGAATCATGTCATGGTGAGTCATGATACAAGTTTTTACCTCCCTGGTTGAATCATGTCATGGTGAGTCATGATACAAGTTTTTACCTCCCTGGTTGAATCATGTCATGGTGAGTCATGATACAAGTTTATACCTCCCTGGTTGAATCATGTCATGGTGAGTCATGATACAAGTTTATACCTCCCTGGTTGAATCATGTCATGGTGAGTCATGATACAAGTTTATACCTCCCTGGTTGAATCATGTCATGGTGAGTCAGGATACAAGTTTATACTTCACTGGTTGAATCATGTCATGGTGAGTCATGATACAAGTTTATACCTCCCTGGTTGAATCATGTCATGGTGAGTCACGATACAAGTTTATACTTCACTGGTTGAATCATGTCATGGTGAGTCATGATACAAGTTTATACCTCCCTGGTTGAATCATGTCATGGTGAGTCATGATACAAGTTTTTACCTCCCTGGTTGAATCATGTCATGGTGAGTCACGATACAAGTTTTTACCTCCCTGGTTGAATTATGTCATGGTGAGTCACGATACAAGTTTTTACCTCCCTGGTTGAATCATGTCATGGTGAGTCACGATACAAGTTTTTACCTCCCTGGTTGAATCATGTCATGGTGAGTCACGATACAAGTTTTTACCTCCCTGGTTGAATCATGTCATGGTGAGTCACGATACAAGTTTATACTTCACTGGTTGAATCATGTCATGGTGAGTCATGATACAAGTTTATACCTCCCTGGTTGAATCATGTCATGGTGAGTCATGATACAAGTTTTTACCTCCCTGGTTGAATCATGTCATGGTGAGTCACGATACAAGTTTATACCTCCCTGGTTGAATCATGTCATGGTGAGTCATGATACAAGTTTATACCTCCCTGGTTGAATCATGTCATGGTGAGCCATGATACAAGTTTATACCTCCCTGGTTGAATCATGTCATGGTGAGTCATGATACAAGTTTATACCTCCTTATACCACCCAATCAAAATAAAGAATGCATCGGTTCTTGAGCCAATTAGGTATTAGCTTGTTAAAACAAATAGGCATCATTTATTTACTGCCTCAAGTCAGACATTTTGATTTTTACAAAAACCCACACAGCACACAAACATTCCTTCAGTGGTACTCCCTACTGGGTGTAGGTGTAAGAGTGAAGATTATCCTACCCTATTTTTTATCCCGGGGATGAAATTCTCTAGTGTCAGGATGATTCTCCCTAGTGAATTTGAACCTAGAGATTTCCCACACTAAGGTAGGATACTATACTCTAGAGTAAAGCTTCCTCTGGGATAATATTTAGGTAGGATATAATTCTTGCTTGCATAGATGCCATGGGGTTCAGAACAACAGGGTGTATCAAATATCCTCAGAAATATAATGGTGCAACTTTTATTACTGACATTCGGTGCTGGTTGTTTAACTATGTTTCTGTGATACAAAATATTGGTGTGAATGCATCACCCTACAATGTAGAAACCTTGACACTGATTGTCTCATGAGAAGTTCACCTGACACGACCAATTTGGAGGTTGTCAGATCCCCTCACCCATAGCTGAAGGACAACAAACTCGAAATTGTTCAAAGAAAGTTTCTGAAATCAATGAATTATAACCAAAATGGGAGCCATTTCTTATTGAGGGAGAAATGTTTATCCTTATAACAAGACTGCTTCCTTGCCAGCTGATATTGAAGTTCACTGTATGTTGGTAACCTGCTTGGCTCACTCTGATCCCCAATTTCATCTCGCCCAGCATTGCTACAACTGGATTCACTGTCTCATCCCATTCATGTGAATATCGCGACACAACACACCTGTGTACCTTAGTTCTGTTGATGTAAGTATATCCCGACTCCATTCCTTCATGAGGCATTACCTAGGTAACCGTAATGGAATACTCGGGTAGACACACATGGTTGGTAGCTCTAAGAGATATCTCCCTTGCTAGTCACTGTAGACTGATTTACCTGGTATCTTTTGTAGCAACGGACCTATTGTCAGTGCTGTACATCTGTATATGGATGGCGTTGGTCATGTTCCGCCCTGTCCTCTGTTTCAGCACACCTTCATCCTGCCCATCCTGTTGCTGGATAAATACCTTAACTATCACCATCTACCGAAGAGAAGGAATGGCATTTTGGGCCTTCTTTTATTTGGTGTTATATATCTCATATGGTAAGTCAGTTGATACTTCGTGTGTTGGGGTGAGGTGAGTAAGTATTGTTTTACGCCACTCTTTGCAATATTCCAGCAATATCACAGCAGGGGACACCAGAAAATGGGTTTCACACATTGTACCCATGTCGGGAATCGAACACTTTAACCACTAGGCTACCCCACCACCTTTAGGGTGAGGTGAAATGGGGTTTATTCCAGTTATATAGTGACGTGCATGCATGTGTGTATATGTGTGTGTGTCTGCTTGTACCTTGTCCGGACTAATGACAGTTTTATCGTGCTCGCCGACTGAGACAGCATGACGCAGTTTTAACAGGATACCCAACTCAGACACATTCCTTGTTTATCCCCTTGATCCCGATAGCCAGGTAGGGTAACAACAAGTACCATCTTTTTTATGTCTATTGGTATGACGCAGCTGGGGATCGCACCACCGACCATCCGCTCTCCGGGATCTATCCACTAGACCACGGAGGTGGTGATCACTTGTTGAGTCAAGCTAGAGTATCCTGCATACATTGTAATAGTCTTCCCAAAGTGGGATACTATCAGCCTCATAGTGTGACTCTATATTATCGCGGGCGCTATGTCACCGTGGTATCAGTAAATCTTGTAATCCAAACCCCCTGTCGACTGTTACTTATGCAAATCAAAGCACGATATTTAATCGATTGGTCGAATACAGGACTTGTTGCGGTATGTCACGGCTACTTGCGAGTATACATCTTAACTTTTTTATGATAGTTGTTGGAATGTTCTTGAAGTGGAATAACCCCTACCTCCATTTGAAATTGATGAGAAAAGAATCCTTTTGTTTGGACGGAGTCCCTTGACCCAACATCGGTATGCATACTGATTATGCATAATCTAAAAGAGGAAGTGATGTAAAGCACCTGTTCCACACAAATCATACCACAAAAAAGCCATACCGCGATAATATAGAGTTGCCTGCCCTTGAGTCGCTAATGACAGGTACTTTGCTTACCGAACTCAATAAATAAATAATCAATCAATCCTAATTGATGTGTCATAAAAGTTGAAAAAAAGAAAAGAAACATTTTGCCAAATATTTAATAGGTTAGTAACCGTGCGCTATTATGATCCACTATTAATTGACTACCATGATAATATAGCATACCATGCTATAATTGGGTGGTCAAACCGTACGATAACCTTAAGGGGTTTAGCCTTGTCAGCAACCTACTGCCGCTTTTGCCTATTGTATTGTAGGTATCTTCCTATCTCATAATAGACCGCCTCCGTGGTCTAGCGGTAGAGCGTCCGCCTGGAGAGCGGAAGGTCCGGGGTTCGATCCCCGGCCGCGTCATATCAAAAGACGTTAAAAGATGGTACTTCTTGTTACCCTGTCTGGCACTCGGCATTAAGGGGCTAAAACAAGGACTGGTCGGCTAGGAGTCAGTATACTGTGTCTGAGTGGGATATTCATGTTAAACTGTGGCATGATATCTCAGTGAGCTAGCACTATAAATCGGCATCAGTCCGGACTAGTACAAGCAGCCACACAAACACACACATGTACATGCAAGTCGCTATATAAGTGCAATAATCTTGGACGCGACGTTAAACCCCATTTCACCTCGCCTATCTCATAATAACATCTTTGGAGGTTTTGCTTTTTCCTAGTAAGACCTCATCCCTTCTGTGAGGTTTTTCTTTTTCCTAGTAAGACTTGGAATGAGGTTTTACTGTTTCCTCGTAAGATCTGACAGCCTTTCCCCATTGAGTAGCAGATGGAATTTGGACTTAGTGTTTCAAATATCCAGTGTTCTAAAATCAATGACAAGAAATGAAACTTTTTCATTGTGTATGACGGGAATCCAACCTGCAACCTCACTTACCGTGTTACGTCGCTCCTCAGTCCTACATTGCCGATACCCTCTTGCCTCGGTCTTACCTCCTCGACTATAACCTCGGTGTCATGCTTTATCCTCTCACGTAACATGGTACTTTCAGGATCCTATGGATAGCCTACCATGCCAACGTGTGGGTGTACCCGATACTGAAGGTCCTGGAGACCCATCAGAGGATCATCTTCTTCGGCTTCCTCCTCATGCTCTTCGTTAGTTTATACCTGCTTGGAGAGGGCCTCACCAGGTTCCTATGGCGTAAGTGTTGAATCTACTCAACTCAGTTATTACTTGCAAATGTGGACTTTATGAAATCGGAAAATGAGAATCAAGACTTCAACTTGTTTAGCCAGCAAATATTTGTTTTAATCTGTTTGAGGTTGATTTTAAGGATAGTTTGCATAGTAGTCTAAGGTGTTGCAATTTGCAATTTTAAGTTGTAAGGTGGAAGGCATGTGATTTTTATTTTAGTGAGTGAGTGAGTATGGTTTTGTGCCGTTTTTAGCAATATTCCAGCAATATCACAGCAGGGGGACACCAGAAATGGGCTTTAATTATTGTACCCATGTCGGGAATCGAACCGGGGTCGTCGGTGTGTCAAGCAAACGCTTTAACCACTAGGCCACCCCTTTTGAATTATAATATTTTAGAGAAACTTTATGGTGTAAAGGAACAAGGCAACAAACATGGAGATTTCATCATCTTAAGGTATTTGCGAACAATGTCGGAGTGATAAGAATCGAATATTTATGAAACATTAAGGCCTTGGATGTTTTGACTTTTTATCTAGCGACCTTCACAGTGGCCATGTTTGTTCTGTCTTTTCAGGGAAAGAACTAGGAGCAAATTTAGCAGCGAGGAACACAAAGTCGAGCAAGTCAAATAAGAAGAAGAATCGTTGACAATATTTGTAATTAGAATTTCATTATTGTCATCCTGATCATCTAGTAGCATTCACATGGAAATTCATCATAATGTGTGTGATGTTACTACATAATTTAGTCTGTTAGGATTGATTTCTTTGATTCTGAACTTTCGGAAACTAAACTCAGATATATGATTAGTATTTTATGTACACTTTTAGGCCTATTTCTTATAGGTAGTTAACAGAAATATTACATTTTAATTTGAAGTTTACACGATATACAGCTTTTCCACAGGAAGAGAGGCCGGTCAGATGATGTTCATAAGTGTATAAACGACACAATTTTATGTTCATACGTTTTTCACGAGACTGACGGACTACTTCCACATTCCAGGGGAAACCTCTGGGAATTCCCTTGCACGAATACATACAAAAGTGTTATTTCTGATCATATAGGCCCTTTAATCTTGAACTCAGCGTTTTAGCATACATTGAGAAACAGCAGAGACTTTGCCTGCATGATTGTTCACAAATATCCTTGCTACGACCTACCCTAGTGAACAAAACTTGGAAATGCACACCCGCTATCGTAGTATCGACTTGAACTGTGTCTAGACTGACAGTGACATTCTGCAGCAATCTATGAATTTACCTTAGTATCTATTTAACACATCTCCACAATCACCTTTCAATGATTTACTGATCAGTGATGACTAACACATATTAATTGCCACAGGTTCATTAACAACTTCAGGAAATTTCTTCCGTCATGTTTATCATGTAGGCCATTTGGACGTCTTGTAATTGATGTAAATGTATTACGACGGGCTGTCATTGTGACTGACTTACTGACGTAATATCAATGATGATATTATTTGAATACATTTCTTGTAAACAGATAGATAAACATACCTCTTGCTTTGGGGAACTATTTTATTTCGCAATACAGCTAGTTGTTGTATGGCTGTCAGTGTAAACATGAAGTCACACATATTGATCTAGCACTACACCCTCAAGGTATAAATCAGTGATATATTTTTTTTTTGAGAATTGACTTTTACTTTGTGTGAGTTCATTGGAGTGTGAACCTTCATAGAGTTACGGCCAAACATTGTATGAATGTCATATTTCTCAAGACAGCTCTTGGTTGTAGGTGTTTTATTTTTAATTTAGATCTTTCAATTTTTGTATTTCTTTTTGAAAGTAGGGTCAGTTTGATGAGACAAAATACATTCAAGTTATCTATGTTTTTTGTTTTGTTTTTTTACCTGAAATGTGACTGGAGTGTTAAACATTTTCAGATATTTTGTCTGATTACCAGTCTCATCTGTACTAAGAAGTTACACGCTTGAACTATTTTTTCTTCCACATTCCTGAATATTAGGATGGGAGTATAATCCAAGTTACTGGTATAAGTAATAGGATGCCTTTAACATACCCCTGTAATGTGTTTTCGTGAATTTGTTTTCTCAACTACATAAATAGTCCAGGAAGTGTTCTTGTGACATTGAAGGTCAAGGTCACTCGATGTGATTAATATGTCCCAGAATGCTTGAGTGTACACATTATCTTGAGCATTCATGATTGGAATTTTATGAAACATTAGAAACATGATCCCAGGCAGTACATGACTGAGATGGAAAGTCAAGGTCATTGAACTGGAAGTACTGCTAATAAAGCAGTCTTTTCTATTTCAAATTGTATTGCATTGGGAAAGTCTTTTCCCCAAACCGAAAGTACTTGTAACTTTGTCATTATGGTAGGTAGAGATGTGGTTGTGCAGGTCAAGTGATGTGGTGAAGTCAAAATGGTTCATGATACATGTTTATGATGGTAAGGTTTTAGGACATTGATGGGGCACGGATGGCCCAGTTGTCTAAGGCGCCGCGATTTGCTGTGCAGAGTTGCGTCCCTTGGGCACGCCAGAAACCTCTGATTGTGGGTTCAAATCCCAGTTCGCCCCGATTATGTTTCTAGGTTTGTCAGCACCATACCTGTGCTCGTGGGTTTCCCCACAGTGGTAAACGTCTGAGACCTGCTTCACTTCCCGCTTTCCTTCCACATTAAGCTGACACGCCGTGATATAACTGGAAAACTGTTAAAAGCGGCGTTAAACCAAACTCACTCACTCACTTTGGGACATTCAGGAAATGGTGGTGATAGAGCTGCTTCTGTTTTTGCGTATTTGATGATGGATCATGCCTTGGTCACTGAGTATCCATGACGACATTCTGCCAACTGTGGGTGTTCAGTGCTGGTTACTCGTAATGGCGATGCTGTGCCAGTATCTATGCAGAGTACTGATTTTGACATGCTTTCATGTTAATGAAAATGATGTCATTTATGGTTATATATTAGAGCTTCGGTTTGATTTGAATACCAATAATACAAATTGGCCTGGCTTTAGGAAATATTGCATTCAACAGCATCAAGCTCCATACTGTTTGAAATTGCTTTATGAAAATTCCTTTGGGGGGAGGGGGGCTTATGGATGAATGAATGAATGATAGGAAATAACTGTTTTTACAAATGATACAAAGTGTGTGTTTGTCTTTTGGTTTATCATAAGATGTGTTGTATGCATGGAGTCTATTAATGAAAACCATGAAGTGTTAAGATGCCAGGAATTCAGGTGTTTATGACATGCTTTTCGCTACTATATTGAGAGGAAACATGTTTATGGCTGCATTTGATCTGTAGGCAGACGCTAAAGTTTGTGCATGCAACACAACCAAGTGATACCACACATTACCAGGCTTGAGTAGTCCAACACACAAAATCATGTCAACTTAGGTGTCTTGCACTCATCATGTGGGTGCAGCCGATTTGCAACATCTTTTATGGCATTTAAACAATATTTCAGCGTTTGGAACACAGACTTAATTTGGTTGATTTTGGTGTGGAGTTGATGGATGCCTCGCCTGAAAGTTTTCTTGTATCAATATGGGCAAAAATACAGGAATCTGTGGATTGACAAAGGGATGTTTGACACAAAGAGTGATGAGCATTTAACTTCCATATTTTAAGCCTTATGTCCTATACATTTTGAATTACTTCTACAATAGCTGGTTTACATATAGGACAAACCAAAGATATATAGCTAAGTGAGCAAGGTGATTATCATGTATTTAGACCATAATAATGTATTTTAAATGACCAGCTCTTCTAGGACGGTTTCCATGTGTTACCATATTTAAACCAATAGCATATTAAGCGCCAAAACTGTTTTAACAGAATATGTAACATTTGATATAGATGTAAAAAGGTTATGTACTGTTCAGTTTGTTCTAAGCAGGTTTCATTGGCGTGACAGTGAGATGTAACTGTACACGTCCCATTGTCGGTATACAAGATCATCTATTGAGGACATGCTTCACATTCTCAACTTAACACGTTACATCAGAGCCGTTATGAACACTATAAACATGAGTACAGTGGAATAGTGGAATAATCAAATCAGTTCCTTGAGAAAATGTAGTTTTTGACTTATGTGAGGAAAGTCTTGGATCAAAGAAGGATGTGGTTTAATATTTTCTTTGAGAAATGTTCCCGAGTATAGTGCACTGTTTCTGGTGATCCTACATGTCTACAATGTGTTGCACATCTCACTGGTGGGAGGTGAACCCAACTAGGGAATGGTTTTGTTTTCATATACCAGCCCACAGAAATGGGCATGTTTCACAAAGTATTTTATTTTTGAAATAAAGCCAAATATACAATGGTGGTTACCCAAAGAAATTGTCCCTCGTCTGGCATGGCTCTTCTTTTGAGTGAACACTTTTGTCCATTTGTTTGTTTTTGCATTCATGTCACATTGCACTCAAGAGTCTCCAGGTCAGTATTTCCAGATGTTGATAGCTTTCTCCAGTGTTCAGCATATTAGTCATGACACAGTATTTATTCCTTGTTCTTCCTTTTTCTCAATAAATGTACGTAACTATTAACAGATTGGGGAAGATGACAAGTTTACATATTTGTAACATTAACAATAAACGAGAGTGAGGGCAGCAATTTAAAACAATGTGAAGGTGACCATCAGTCAAAGGTCAGGAGGGGGAGGTAACTCACACTTTACCATTAATTTGTGTGCTACAAAGCATCAGAAGCATTCAGAGCCTAGGTCCTCAAAGCTACTTTAGCACTTAAGTCTATGTTAACGAGTTTTAGCACCAAGACATTGTTTAAGTATAAAAACCATAGCACTAAGATGACTTCGAGGAACAAGTCTGTTCGGGTCTAAATACATATTTTGCATATATCGGTCTTCCAGTTCTACTGTGATGATGAATTCCGGCATGAAGAGACACACTTTTAAGGTGTTTACAAGTGGAGTCTCCTTGTACCAAACTAAGTTTGCTGTGACTGCTGTAAATCCTGGAATCTGGCAAACTGTTTCAGTTGGTGCATGTCCAAGGCCCTTTTAGTGGGTTCTGTCAAATGCCAGGTGCGTTGAAATGAAAGTATTTATTGCCAGAGTTTGTCACATTCCAGTTTTGTATTTTTGTTGCATGAGATGAGATCTATGTTGTGTTTTGTGTGAGCCTTCTATATCATGTTATGCAGGAATATTTGTATCTCCTTTCACATTTGTTTTCTGTTGCTTTGAAAAATGAAGAAAATAAATGGTATACATAATATTTGTGACTGTTGTTCATTGTAGATCCACACTGCAATCATGAACCAGTGATTTGACGAGACAGAGACCGGTAATTTATTATAGGGCGAGGGAGGTGTCAGGTTTTTGATGCATTTAAAATATCAGTAAATGCTGACCTTAAAGATACCTTCAGAAAAAGCCATTGTGGTTAAAATGCCAGACTTTATGAATGACCTTCACTGTGACCTTGAACGTATACTAAGATCACTCCCAACCTTTCCGATCTTGGCCCTGCCCTGAGGAAGATGCACCAAGTCACCTTTGACCGACAGTAAATTCTCAAGTTAGGTGGTTGATTAAGAAACATATTTCAGACATACCCCTTGGGGATGACCTTGACCCTTGACATCAATGAGTCAAATATATTTCCCAGGGTTATAATGGAGATATGCATGATAAGATATCCCTGAGATGTCCAAACACTGCATGGTTTCAAATACAAAGTGCAGCTGCAGCAGCAAAATCAGACAAAATCTTGAAGCATCCCAATATACATTGGGTTACTTGTACGTACATGATGTAGTTTGAATACTGTTCAAAGAATGTTGCTCACTCAAACCACTGAACATGAGTAAAACGAATGAAAATTGAGTGCATACTGACTGATCCATTGACTGGGGTATTAATAATGTTTAGTGCATGATTCAGCAGGAGTGAGTGAGTGAGTGTGGTTTTACGCCGCTTTTAGCAATATTCCAGCAATATCACGGCGGGGGACACCAGAAATGAGCTTCACACATTGTACCCATGTCGGGATTCGAACCCGGGTCTTCGGCGTGACGAACAAACACTTTAACCACTAGGATATCCAACCGCCCCTTGATTCAGCAGGACTGGGGAGGACGGGTAACCTAGTGGTAAAAATGTTTCCTCGTTACACTGAAGACATGGGTCCGATTCCCTACATGGGTACATTTCTGGTGTTTCCTGCCGTTATATTGCTGGAATATTGCTAAAAGCAGCATAAAACCACACACTCACCAGATGGACTTCTACACATTACAGACATCCATCCATTATTAGTTATCCCAGCAATTCCATCAAAACATGACACTAACAGTCGTGAAGCTGATAAAGTTTATTAACTTTGTGGATGTAAGCTGCATAAGTATAGGAATCCTTTACAGCCATTATATCCTCAACTGCATATCACTGATCAATTGTAAAATAACTAAATTACCAGGACAAGCTCTGACCACATTATAACAATATAATCCAATGATAGGAAATGTATCTGGAATTACCAGAAATAAGACATCACATTTTGTCTTGCTAAGTCCTAACTGGAAGCAGGTTGGACACAATCACAATAAATATTGATAACACTTTGGCTAAGTCTGCATTCATGGGCGACTGTACATTTGTGTCTGCATGGCACACACTATGTCCTGTCCTCATCGTATACACAGGCAAGTATGGACAGCTATTATTGCAAAAGTTACTTGTCTGAATATCATTGCAATTACTTTTTTCCTGAGTATCATAATTTCATTGACTTCTGATAGCTAGATATATGTATGAAATCAACACGAACAGTTGGTTGTCAGAGATTTTATATGACCTGATACAGTCGACATTGACAACCATATCAGCAACACGCTACCTGACAATGTCCCACAGCGTCATGGGGAGAGGAGTACTCCGCAAAGTGACACCCGGACGATGTCCCACAGCGTCATGGGGAGAGGAGTACTCCGCAACGTGACCCTCTGACCATGTCCCACAGCGTCATGGGGAGAAGAGCACTCCACAACGTGACACCCTGACAATGTCCCACAGCATCATGGGGAGAGGAGTACTCCGCAACGTGACACCCTGACAATGTCCCACACCGTCATGGGGAGAGGAGCACTCCGCAACGTGACACCGGACAATGTCCCACACCGTCATGGGGAGAGGAGTACTCCGCAAGGTGACACTCTGACAATGTCCCACACCGTCATGGGGAGAGGAGCACTCCGCAACGTGACACCCGGACAATGTCCCACACCGTCATGGAGAGAGGAGTACTCCACAACGTGACACCCTGACAATGTCCCACACCGTCATGGGGAGAGGAGCACTCCGCAACGTGACACCCTGACAATGTCCCACAGCATCATGGGGAGAGGAGTACTGCGCAACGTGACACCCTGACAATGTCCCACAGCATCATGGGGAGAGGAGTACTGCGCAACGTGACACCCTGACAATGTCCCACAGCATCATGGGGAGAGGAGCACTCCGCAACGTGACACCATGACAATGTCCCACAGCGCCATGGGGAGAGGAGCACTCCGCAACGTGACACCCGGACGATGTCCCACAGCATCATGGGGAGAGGAGTACTCCGCAACGTGACACCCTGACAATGTCCCACACCGTCATGGGGAGAGGAGTACTCCGCAACGTGACACCCGGACGATGTCCCACAGCATCATGGGGAGAGGAGTACTCCGCAACGTGACACCCTGACAATGTCCCACACCGTCATGGGGAGAGGAGTACTCCGCAACGTGACACCCGGACGATGTCCCACAGCTTAGTGGGGAGAGAAGTACTGCGCAACGTGACACCTGGATGATGTCCCACAGCGTCTTAGGGAGAGGAGTACTCCGCAACGTGACACCCTGACAATGTCCCACACCGTCATGGGGAGAGGAGCACTCCGCAACGTGACACCATGACAATGTCCCACAGCATCATGGGGAGAGGAGCACTCCTATATCCTTCCTTGTTTTATCATAGAAAGTATAAACAAAGTTGACTACAAGTACGAGATAGCCAGGGAAAAGTGGCATCTGACTTCTCTGTAAATACAACAGCAACATAAAAAAGAAACTGACAATAAGTTAAGTAATGCACAGATGTTTGTTTCTCTACATAAGTACTTCATGGGCTTGTATACTCCGGTCCTCCATCAACCGAGAATACAAACGGCCACGATGTAATAGTAATGAGTGTCTATTTTCAGTCAGCTCATTAAACTGTGTGAACCTCACGGAATTGAGCCTCGTGTTGTGCCGGAGCTTCGTGCAAACCCTTTTCTGAAAATTATCAGGATATAAAGATAGTCGAAAAATTTATTGCAATTAGTAATAGTAGAACTACAAAGTCTGAAAGAAAACGGCCCACATGGTAGTTACCAATGCAACGGCACAAAGCCTCCTGGGGTCACTTTGAGTTTATATGCCTTCAGCAATGAATTAAAACAATTAATAAAAAATGCGAAAAACAACTTTGTGACAACTCAACGATTGCCTTATGGCCCGGTCACACGACAACATATAGCAGTAATGTATGGCGACGTGAGAATTTTTGCCAAAATGCCGGCAACGCTGAAACACGGTACCTTTCTCCTACGCTGAGCGCGCTAGTCATACGTTACTCATATGTTGTGCATACTCTGGCCATACGTTGAACACGCCAGACACACGCTGGCAAGACACCTTTATACGCTGTCATAAGTTATGTATAAGTCAGTGATACGCTACTAATACGTCAGACATGAGTTACATATACGGTAAACTCTTGTTATGTATACGCTAAGGATACGCCAAAATCATGGTTTTTCGTTACTTACTGTCTTTTACACGCTAGGTGCAAGTTACTCTGAAACATTGTAGTGTGACAGGGCCATTACATTGCAAACATTGAGTCGATGGTTGCAAGGCTATGCCACATGATGCAGCGAGGAATACTGCCGATGTTATTTGTGCACTCGGCCTGAGGCCTCCCGGTTATCCCTCCCACTGGAACCAGGCAGAGGCATGATTTGGTGGTAGAGAATACAGACAATATCGCAAAGGTGACAGAAGCGCAGTGCATACAAACCCGTGGAGTACAGACCGTATCTCTTATGCTGCGCACACATGTTGCAACAAACTATTTACCTAGTTCGACACGGATAACAAACATGTTATCCGACACGGGTAACAAACATGTTATCCGACACGGGTCACAAACATGTTATCCGACACGGGTCACAAACATGTTATCCTTCAATGACCTGATGGTCTCTGTTTAAGGGCAGAATCTTAGACGATATTACTCCCTTCCAATGACATCACTTTTCTTTGGGGTAGTTCAATTTCAAATGTCCTATTTCCTACTAGAATATCATTGTACTGAATGGATGCTTTGACGTACAACTATTCATCGACTAGAAACAATATCTGATGTCACTTTATGATACATATCTAGATAACAAGGATATGTTATGATACAAGGATACATTAAAACTCAACACCTGTCAAAGGAAATATTAACATAATCAGTAAACAGTCACAAGTAATGAAGGTGGTGGTTCAAAAGTACAATGTCGGAAAGAATCTTCATTCCTAAAGTTTTGGAGGTTAACTGGTCCTCAAATTTCCCATTTGACATTATCAACCACATAGTTACAAAACAGATCACAATGGCTGGTATAGCCTGACTCCCAGACCCAACAGAATATATTATGAAATGAATCCAACTCAAGTCTAGAATGATTTGTCAAGCAAATTGAAATTAATCATTGTTCAGGGCTCTATTTCGATATAATTTAATTTTGTATATATATAACTTTAAATAAGATAATTTTATTTCTGGGACTGAATGTTAATGTATGATTTGTAATATGGGATAAAGTACAAGAAAGATCCCTGAGCCATTTTCACAATTATTTTTAAGGTACGTCTAAATAATTAGGAATTTTTTTTATACAACATCCAACTATTGAGCTGCTCCCCGAACTAACAATAGCTGGGGATTATTGTACCAACACAGGATGGAAGTCTATATTACTGTCTTACCATATACACATGTATCATTTTGTATGAATCCATAACATGTGGAACAGTGTCATAAAATCTTAATGTCCATGCAGCTTCAGCAGCAGATGCAGAACAGGAGGCCAGACCTCCGTACGGAAAACACTGTGAACATTACATTAGTTTGTCCATGTGATCAACATCTCCAGAAGCCAATATAAGATTCACATCAACCTAGAAGCGTAAAG